GGTGGATGTAATAGGTTGTGTCCCACGGTCAATGGGGCATAGATTGGTTACACTATTTTCCCTATCCGTGTCGGTTAAGGACCGTCCGTTGCAGTGGATTCTAGTCAGATCACAGACTTATTATCCTGAGCACATACTTGCTTATGGGAGAGGGAAGGCTCATTGCTCTCTTGTCATGGATTCTGGCTTTTTCCGGACCGACTGATTGGAGGCAGGGATGGTAGAGGTCTAAGCACCACACTGAGTCCGGGACTCAGGAGTGGGGGCTTGGAGTCCAAGTTTGGACGAGGATCTGGACCCCTTGATAGGAAAGTAGTGAGCTGATCTTGCTTGTACCTAGGGTACAAGCGGGGCATGTGTTTCGAGGTACCCAGCTGGGATACATTGGTTCATGAATCATCGTGTGATACGGTACGACTTGGCTACGATCTAGCATCGTAGTAAGAACTGGAAGATGAAAGAGGATGAATGGACCTGATTGCTCAACTCTTGCTTGAAGGTAGAACAGGTGCTTATATAGAATGGTTAGCCAATGAACTAATCATGACTGCTAATAAAACACATACATAAGGATTCACTACTAGTAATGCTTTTGCCAAAAAGGAAACCCAGCAAACTATAAAGATTATCATATCCTTTGGAGTCGGGAAATTATTCCCACTAGTCGGGTAAGTCTTGCGAGTATATTATGTACTCAGGGTTTATTTACCCCTGTTGCAGGTGTAGCTTGAGGAGAGGCTGTTGTGTGGAGGATTCTTCTAGTGGGCATAGACGGATCCTTGTATCTTATCGTTAGATGTTTATTTCAATTCCGCTGTTTAAATTCCGCACTCTGAACTTGGTATTGTAATAATATATTTATGAGAACTCTTGTGTATGAAATGGACTAAGTATTGTAAACTCGTTCTCATTATTGGATCCTGGATGAAAAACGTGGATTTTTCAAGTTCTCCTTGGGGTGTGCTCAACGGAACCGTCTGATATAGCTTGCTTTCGGGGTGTTTAGTGTCTAGTGGAAGATGAGCGCCTCCGAAAGCATGTTATTTCGGGTAGTTCTACCACAGCAAACACCTCCACTCATCTCCATCATTGATTCATCATCATAGTGAGATTAGGAGTGATTCCAAGTGCATTTGCTTGAGTGATTGCATCTATTGGCACTTGGGGATCGTTGTGGCTGCGAGAGCAGTGGAGGAGCTTCGGCACGTGTTAGTGATTATTCGTGGCCGGCTCCGGTGATTGTGAGGGGTCTTGTACCTTCCCGGCGAAGAGCCGAAAGATAACTCTAATGGATTGCTCGTGTCATTGAGTTACCTCACTTGTGGGTAGGTTCTTACGGTGTCCATTTGTTGGATGAGGTTCGTACAACACCTCTTAGCCACCGAACCACCAAGTGTTGGTCGACTCAACGAGGGACTAGCGTGCCGATAAGCACGTGAACCTCGGAAAAAAAATCATGTGTCATTCTTGTGATTGGATTTCTCCTGGTGATTGGTTGTCTTTACATTGTGTTTGGTTCATTCCTCGACACAGCGGTATAATCACCCTACTCACTCCTTTACATTCTTCGCAAACTAGCTGTCAAGCTCTTTAGTGTAGTTAGTTTTTGAGAGCTCGTTAGTTTAGTTAGTGTAACTCTTTAGTTAGTCTTTAAGAGTACACTAGCTTAGTGAGTAATGACCTAACTTGTTATGTGTTTAGTGATCATAGCAACTAGAATTATTGAGATAGGTGGTTTGCAACCCTTATAGAGTTAAAGCAAAATTATATTAAACCATTTGTTGTACTAATCAATTGCTTTAATATTTTATAGAGTTTTTGAATAAGCTATTCAGCCTCTCTTCTATATCCATATCTTTCACAGGCACATCAGGCATCGCAGCGTCGCTTCGAAGCTTGCGCCGCGGCGACGTGACGTCCAGGATCTCGCGACAAGCAGGCCCCCGACCGAAGCGATGTCGTCCTGACCAGGACAATGCCCTCCCGCCCAAGGCGCATGTGCCCTCATGAACCATCTGGTACGGATTTGGTGACCACCGCACCGTGGATTCCTTCTCCCTCACCGCCGGCGAACGGATGCCAGCAGCCGAAACGTTGGCCGCGACAGGACGACAAGAATGCTGCGCGTCCGAGACGACCGCGAGGGGGCGGAACCCCGAGCCGTTGCCTCTGAGCGACGGAGCGCCACCGGCATCCCTCGAGCGAACCGTCTGAGGCCCGAACGACCACGACCTGGACGGGCCATCAAGCCCAGGATGATAGCCATTGTAATTGCTATCTCTGTTGTCGTCATCATCGTCCGCCCCGGGGAAGTCGTCGTCCGACGAAGACGGCGGCGCCACCCAATCCTAGAACTCAACCACCCTCATGCGAGCAAGATAACGGAGGGTCGGGAGCTTGCAGTGGACGGTCTCATGCTCCCGCAAGAACAGCATTCCACAGGGATCGTGTGGCTGCGCGGGTTATGGGATAACCAGAATCTTCTGGTCCGGGATCAGCCCTGGACAAACACGACACGCGGCGACGAAAATCTCACGACCATCCTTGACATCGACGCCGTCTGCATCTGCCGTGGCGAGCTCGACCATGGCGCAGGAGGAGCCCAGCAGGTACTATCCCACCGCCTAGCTAAGAGCTAAGAGCGTGCACCGGGACGCCCTTGATCCCAACCAGAACCCTGAATGTGAAGCTACTAGCGGACGCATTCGAAAATCTGGTCCACCGCCTCTAGATGAGCGTGAATGGCGCCGCCTCTCTCGCGACCGGCGTGCCAAGCACCGCCTCAAGGTCCTCCCTGCGTCGAAAACGCACAATGAAGTCTTGTGGCGCGTGCCGCAGCATGGAAACAGCGTCGTCGACGATCCCGAAGTTGATGCGCACGTAGTCGCGCACCATCGCCAGAGAGACCGCCGGCTTGGTCCCGCCGACCATCGCAACAAGCGCTAGCGACAGAGCATCCTCCGCCGCCTGGAGCTCCGCTGAGCGCGGCACCACCATGATCTCAACGAACGGCCGGTCCTCTCCCGAGGGCCTAAGTCACGGAGAAGGAAAGCCTCCCCCCAAGGCCAGACCCCAGGTTACCGGGCAAAGCACTCCCAACGAACGGCTCGGCGTTGGGGTTGAGGCCCGGCGAATCCTGGGCGGCCTCCTCCTCCACCTCGTCAGCCCAGGCACTACCGGAATCCTCAAATTTGCCGAGTGTTTTTATGTTTGCCGAGTGTATTCCCTCGGGCACCCGGCGAACAAGTTCTTTGTCGAGTGCTGCTGTAAAAACACTCGGCAAAAAAAACACGGGAAAGAGTGGGTTTGTCGAGTGTAAAAAAACACTCGGCAAAGAGAGGGTTTGCTGAGTGTCAAAAAAAACACTCAACAAAAAAATAAAATCTTTTTTCTAGAAAAAGAGAAGAAAAAAATGAAAAAAAAAACTTTGCCAAATGCTCAGATCTAGAACACTCGGCAAAGAAATAAAATCTTTTTTCCGAAAAGGAGAAGCAAAGGGAACCACCCTCCTTCCGCCTTTGACCTGGGCCCCCCCCCTCCTTCTTCCCCGACACCCCGCAGCCCAGGAGCGACCTTCCTCTCCCGGGCCACCGCCCCCCCTTCTTCTGGCGATGCCCCTCCCGGGAGCCCGGCTCCAGGAGGCCTTCTTCCCGGGAGCTTTCCTTCGGATTGGCCCTCCCTCTCCGGATCCGCCGGGGCCGCTGGTGGTGGCCAAGGGTGGGCGGGGTGGTGGCTGTGGGGTGGTGGTGGTGGGCCAAGGTGTGGCTTGTGGTGGCGGCGGGCGTGGTGGCGGCGGGGCGTGGTGTGGTGGTTGTGGTGGCGGCGGTGGCGTGTGGGCGGCGGGCGGTTGGCGGGCGGTGTTGGCGGGCGGCGTGGTGGTAATTGTTTTTTTTGCGGAAAATGTTTGCCGAGTGTCGGGTTTAGCAGCGTTTTGCGGCTCGCTCGGCAAAGAAAGCTTTTGCCGAAGTCTGTGTTTGTCGAGTGCCAGCAACACTCGGCAAAGTCACAGCCGGGGGCACGACAAACCTGTGCATTCCGGTAGTGAGGAGCGACTTGAAGGGGAACCGCACTCCATGGACGGCGGGAGCTGGCAGAGGGAGCAGGAAGGCGCTATGTGGGCGCCGAGGCCGGAGTGGCCGGCGGCAAGGATTTGGTGGACGGTGGGGCCGGGGTGGCCACGGGCGGGAGGCTAGGTGGAGCTCAGCAGGAGCTCATCCTCCAGCCCACAGCTTTGCAGCAGCAGCCATAGCAAGGGCCATGGTGGCCTATTTCAGAATAGCAGAAACAGACATAGGCAGATACTGTGAACAGCATGTATTGACGTTGTTGGTGTAAGGTCTATGTTCTGTTTTTAGGCGGAATGAATAAATAAAATAGGAAAAAGTAGGACGCTGCCTCTAGATTGTTCAGCTCAAGAGGGGGTAGAAGTGGAAAACATAATTTTGTAATTCATAACATTTTGATTTGAGATTGTTTAGTGGCCTTATCAGATTTTAAAATACAATTTTATAAAATTTTCAAAATACCCTAGATGGACATAAGCGCTGAACATTATCGGCAAATCATGGCTAGGAACCAATTTTGCTTTGTTCTTAATCTTGCATACCTTTTATACAATTTTAACAAAAAATGGGCTCACTTTTTGTCTTTTATTATCAGCCCGTCCCAGTCAACTTGCTTTTAGTATTGTATTTGTACCATATATACATATACTTATAAACAATATTTTCCTGTTTAGTAACACATTCTAGGGCACCTGTTTAGACCCAATATTGACTTTGTAAAAACATTTCTTTATAACTGGAACCATAAGTGGATTCAGCATGCACCAAGCACCTCCGTCCTCTGGTGAAAAATTATCGATTCCAGAGCATGACATGATCCGTTATTTCCCATGTCAGTAAAAAGATTTAACTTATTTGGTGAGCTAGAACAATTGCAGAATCCAATCTCCTGTATGGCTGTATTGATGACCTTTCTCCTGTTATCGCACAAGTCAATTACAACTTCGACCTAGCTAACTCTGTCTCTCGCAACTGTGCATACATATCTGAGATTTCTTTTGCAAAGTATGCTTTAGCTTGCGGTCTCTTAACCTACAGATGCGTTGAGATGGAGTGTCAGCAGCTCAGTAATTTAGTATCGGAATCGCCTCTAACAGAGCAAATGAGCTTTACCTTGAATGTTGGGGTGAGGAGACCATTATCCAATGTGAATGGTTCAGCAACAAGAGCAACCGCTTTAGCAAATTCAAAACCTCTTAGCTGGTACAATATATGGATAAAGTCGTCAATAAGAAGGCACATCTGTAACAGACAATTCATTTGGGGAGAGAATACTCAAGGAGAAGGGTCACATGTGAAGAATTATACCTGTGCTTCCTTCCCAATGGAATCCATATCAGCCAGGACAGCAGCTCTTGCTCTAGGATCAGCACAGAGCTGTCTCAAGTCCTCGTACTACATGTTACAAAGGCAATTTAGAAAATAAATATGAACTGCAAATCCAAAGCATTTTATTTGTGGCTCTAAATTATTTCAAAGCTTTGATGTGATGAGATAGTGGTAAAAACCTAAGTACGTGTGCTTGGTTTACATTCTAAACTGGAGCAGTGTGAAAACTGCTTTCATGAGCTCAAATAAACAGGGGACAACTGCAGTAGTCCAATACTTTTACCTGAATTCCTTCTGATGCAGCCCAAGCCTTCAACACCTCCGGTTCGACTGCTACAATGGCAACTAGGAAAGAGTTGAAACTATCACCTGCATCCAGATCAACAACTTTAAGATGTACACGACGGTACTTGATGCTTTCAGCTCATATGGATTCACGAGTATTACATTACCATATATAAAGCATTGAGCAATGAACTTGCACTTAGCATAGACATTCTCAATCTTCTCTGGAGCTATGTATTCTCCTTGAGCTAACTTGAAAATGTTCTTTTTCCTTGAACCCAGAAAAGTACAAAACAATTAACAACACAAAAATAAAACTTAGCATAGACATTCTCAATCTTCTCTGGAGCTATGTATTCTCCTTGAGCTAACTTGAAAATGTTTTTTTTCCTTGAAATTTTCTTGACATCTAGGATGAATTTCAAACTGAATTGTTATGGCTATACTTAACTTCATTTGTACTACATACATGATTTTTGTGATGATTTTTGAAACATTGCAACATAGTATTTTAGCTAACAAGGGCGCCAAATCTGCACTCAAACTGGTATACCAAAAGACATCGTTCAGCTTTACCTATCTATAATTTTCAGACGCCCTCCAGGCAGCCACAAACCTATGTCTCCAGTATGTAACCAACCATCCTCATCAATGACCTCTCTTCTGCAGGTTTTCAAATACATTTATCAAAGTTTAATGGATATATTTATTTAAAAGATGTAAATAGAGGTGTGATGACAACAAGTTACGTTTGGACTTCATCTTTATAGTAACCGCGGAATATTATAGGCCCCCTAACACAAATTTCTCCACGAGGATATGGTTGATCCTCCGAAGTATAATTCATTTCTGGGACGTCCACAAGTTTAACCTCTGAAGAAGAAAACAGAATGCACATTATTAAAGACTGAAAACAATGCATATAGCTTAGCATCAAGCAAATCTTTCAGATTGAAGTGTTGAACCTAGTATAATTTGTGCAAAAAGAGAGAGAATGGTGACATCTTTTTCATGGAACACCATAATTTCACTCATGGACTACTGTATCTTGTTAACTGGGCAGCCTCAAACAAAATTGAACAATGAACATAAAAATAACCCTTGAATGTATGTAAGATGTAACTCAGGATAACATGAAACAAATGCAAGACTAACCCAGAACAGGTTTCTTCAGTACAGCTATTCTCAAGTATCACCACAATTCAGTATGAAGGTGAGGAACATAAATGTAAATCAAAAGCATGTAATAGCATAAACACACCGTTATTTGAAGATGGATTCTCTCTGTGCTATTTATGTATTAACAAGCTTTACGAGAAATTACTGTTGACATAAGAGCAAGCTTTACCCAAAATTAATTCTAATCTTAAAAAATTAAATCCAGAGCTTACCACAAGAAGGATTTGGAGATCCAACATGTCCAATTGATCTGTCACCAATATTCATTGTACTGATGACACAAGATGTCTCTGTCATTCCATACCCTTCAAGAACTTCACCGAAGCATCTAGAGAAAAGAGTTAATAGTGTTTATTATTTAGGGTCACTTATTATTAACAGAGCCAAAACTTGTTTCATATAATCATCATGCCACCAACTTAGCGCAGACGAATGCAGCTTACATTCTTAGAAATTCCATGACATCTGGTGACAAGGGAGAAGCGCCTGAAGTCATAAGTCTCATTCGTCCACCAAGTCTAGCTTTAATTTTGTTAAATACCAACTTGTCCCACATAGGTGATGGGTTTGTACCTAACAACAGAAAGCACAGAAGTAACATTTCATTATCATGTAGGGTCTGTAAATTTGATCTGTTGGTGGAGCATGAATGAAATTTTGCATCTTTCAGTCCAAATGGAGTTCAAGCTATTATTTTTCCTCGGGAGAGAGGCATATCATATCATTAAAGAAGAACTGAACTTCAAGCTGATTCAGTTGTTATGGTCAAAGTAATATCCATGTAAAAAATATAGGATGGACTGTGTAACAAACTAATTAGGTAGTTCATGCCAAGGACAGATGACTCAGGAGTCAGGAGTCAGGACTACCAGTTCATACATAGTCCGTGAACAACATTGTGATTTACCATGACCTAGCAGGCTACACAAGAATTCCCGTATTGATTCTATGCACCTCAGGAAAGAAATCCTGTTAATTGGTTTCCGAGGTAGAATTGTAGAAATTACAAGCTCAAGCTGCAAGCGAATGTAAATGGACTCCACAAAGTTGTTAGTCTGTTACCGTTTATCATAGCATGTCGCTTGGCATTGTATGCAGTATGGTACAACCTTTCTCTCAATCCCCCAGACTCCTTCACAGCATTTGTAATTCTACAAAGTGATTATGCAATCAAGTTATCAGCACCAAGAAAGAAGAAACAATAATCTTAAAAGAAATGACCTGCAATAGTTACACCAAACATGAAAAACAAAATCCGGATTACTGATATTGTCTTACGCAGCATAAATTCTGTTATATAACCGGGGAACACTTGCGAATATTGTTGGTCTCAAAGCAGCCAAATCATCCATCAGCTTCAAGTTATCCTGGATGTTAATGTAACATAAGCATAATTACCAAAAAGATGAAAAAAGAGCACAAAACTAAAGGTAAAAGCAATAATTATGACAAACAGTAAGTAAATACGCTGCATTCGCTATTTGATAAGAGAGGAACATAATGTTCAGTGACAATGCAATGCCTGCCAATATAATAGATTGTTAGAATATTAATCTCAGAGATCGAATGGCCCAAAGGTTTCATAAGTCATTCAAACTAAAAACAACGTAAGTATGAAACATTGCATTAATGAACTATTCAGCACCTCTCTTTTATAATTCTCCATATTATTTTATTCATGCCATTTTGCTCACCTTATGTTGCTTAAGCAACATATAGGAGCCAGGGCCACGGTTGCTTACGCATGACGACCATGAACGCAAATACAGTTTTTCTAGAGATGGCATGGTTATTCAAACAAAAAGAATGCAATGTACTAGTATAAAGATATCATCCTAGATAGTTTCAGATCTGCATACCCCTTGGTAGAATCCAATGGCAACACCATAGTGAAGCAATGCAATCTGGTTAGCCCTCTCATAGATGTGAGCCAAAGGTAGATATGAGATGTACCTGAGGAGTGATACAAATAGCTACTTTCAATATTGAGTGCTGACATAATCAAAATAAGCTACAGAAGAAAGAAACAGTTAACGATTTACTCACACGTCAGAGGGGTAAAACTTAATGCCTAAACTTGACCCTGCTACATTGGCAATTAAGTTCTCATGAGAAAGTACAGCTCCCTGGGCAAAGATTGACAATCCAACTTCACCAGTTTGAAAGGTAAATGCAGAAGACTCTGCTAGTGGAGCAAAGAATAATAAAAGCATTGATGATTTACCTTTGGTGTGCCAGTAGTGCCACTGGTGTAGCAGATAGTAGCTATATCTTTAGGTTTTGGAGGACTAAAAGTTTGAGGACTCATCCTTCCCTGAGTTAAGAAAAAAGAGGAGTTCATAAAATAAGAACATGAGAGACAGTTTGTTGATACAGGAAACTCCTATACAAAAGAAAAAATGCCAGCAAGTGCATCCTGGGACCAAAGGCTTTTGTTGTATGCCCAGCATGTGCGTGCTTGGGGCTAAGGCGGTTTGTTGTTTTAAAGCCCAGGGTGTGCATAATATGTACAGCAATAAGCATTTAACACGTGCCCATACTATTACTATAAACACAGAACCATGAGTTTAACAATAAGACCATCTCCATCCAGTAGACCAAAACTTGTTGCTATGTAAGATTGTTTCTGTGCTCTCGTGTTCAAGGGGGACAATAAAGCAACTTATAGTTGGCACATAAAGAGTGTTGGAACCTTTTCAAGTATATCAGCAAAGCATTTGTAGACAATAGACAAGAAAATAACAAGAATAGAGCAAGTGACCAAAAGGGAATGACAATTTTACTTTTGAGGTGCTTCAAGAGAAGCTGATTTAGCCTACTTCAGATTACTGACAGTAACAATGGCTATCATGTACTTGATATCTCTCAAAACTCCTTAACTTCAGATATACAAACAATAGAGTGGTTGGCCGTATAGTATAATCTGTAATTCTGAGGGTTGTCTGTTGCCGCCTTTGTGGGTTTGCACCTGCTTGCGCCTTGCAAGCGTCCAGACCGATACAAGATGGTGAACAGACTTGTAACGTTTCAAACAAAACTCCTATCTTCTTAATGAAATACAGGCTCCGACCCGCTCGCGAAAAAACAAACAATAGTGTGGTTTACGGAAATACGTGCTCAGGCACATTTGTGTAAACATAGTGTGGTTTACAGGAACCAAAATGTACAGCAACAGCCACTATGCAGTGCTAAGGATAGGTCTCCATAGACGAATCTTTTTTTATGAGAAAACTCAAGGATCATTTAGCAAACCCACCTCGTTGTGTAGTCTGTTGTATGTCATAATTTTGCATTCAGTAGTTGTTGGTGCAGTTGGCATATTTGAATCATCTCCACCAACGACCTATGCAGAAACATGTTATTGAATACACAGGAAGGATACAAAGCACATACAATTGTAAATTGTCCAACTTACCACAATAAGACGAACACAAGGCATTTGAGTTATAAAGCTTAAAATCTGCGACCGATAGATAAACCCAAAGAAACAGGTTGAATAATCAGTTTACACTTTGTCATTATATATCACGAAACAGTACAGAAACTAGTAATTATTTAACGTCGAGGTAAGATATTGAAATCTCACAGCGCTTAGAGTTTGTGGCACACAGAATATAACTTCTACTGTTGCATGGTTCACTATAAACTGAACTGCATCTGGACCTGAAGAAAGTGTACAAAAAGACGTTATTATTACATGAATGAAGAAGGGATCAATGGTCATTCTTTGATGTGAACATACCGAGAGTATCATAAAGTGGCACAGATACATATGAGTATGCCGCACAAGCATGGTCAAGTATGATCCACTCCGGTCTGTTTATAAAATATAGACCAATTCGTGCACCCTGATTAAGAAGAAAAAAAGATTAAAAGTAAGTTCAAATAATTCACCATTGGATACTAGAAGTACCCCCCCCCCCCCTCTACTGTTATTACTATTGCTACTACCTCTTTTTCTAGATCTTCCCTGAGGCATTTGATGTGTTTTATGTCTAGCCTACCCCAACTTGCTTTGGACTAAAAGGCTTAGTTGTTGGTGCTGCTGTTACAACAACAACAACAACAACAAAGCCTTTAAGTCCCAAACAAGTTGGGGTAGGCTAGAGTTGAAACCCAACAGAAACAATCATGGTTCAGGCACGTGAATAGCTGTCTTCCAAGCATTCCTATCTAAGGCTAAGTCTTTGGGTATATTCCATCCTTTCAAGTCTCCTTTTATTGCCTCTACCTAAGTCAACTTCGGTCTTCCTCTGCCTCTCTTCACGTTACTATCCTGACTTAGGATTCCACTACGCACCGGTGCATCTGAAGGTCTCCGTTGCACATGTCCAAACCATCTCAACCGGTGTTGGACAAGCTTTTCTTCAATTGGCGCTACCCCTAATCTCTCACGTATATCATCGTTCCGAACTCGATCCATATGTGTGGCTGTTACGAATTGGTGCTGCTGTTACGAATGCTAAAATTTCTTTACAAATATATCAATGTGTGGCAAAATATATGCTTATTCAAATTCAAAAAAGCGGAACAATTCTTGTTGAGAGCATGATGGCTCACTTCAGGTATTCCGTGATAAATAAGACCAGAACCTATTGCAGTTCTGCTCGTGCTAGCTTCTCCATATGTCATCCACTTGTAGCTGCAATATTTGTTGACTTAAAAGAGTAAACAATGCTAGAAAAAAAGGTAGCAGAAAGGTAACAATTAGGCATGCATCAGGTAACTGATCCTTACTCTCCAACTGTTCCATCTGGGCAGATTCTTGTACCCAAATATCTACAATCTCGGAAAGTTTCGACTGCATATCTGTGGAATATGGCATACATAGGTCATTGTGCCTGGGAGATGACTAAAGCACTAAAGCATTTTCTTATGAATCATATAGTCTGCAAAAATAAGCATATTTTAGCAGGTTGCATAAAACCAGCAGATAAAAAACTGTCATTCAACTTTTTTAGCTCTTACTTTACAATTACAATTGCTTAAAAAGTTACAGGTCCACTTTGCCAAATTAATCTGACCCAAAAAATGACGATATATTTTTTCCGATCCAAGTCTTCCGCAACATAACTAGCATTTGTTTACCTAACTCCGTTTTTCTAGGAAATCCTTCATAAGCAATGTAAAACTATCGCATCAATAATTTACACTCTTGAATGTGCACAAAAAAAGAAAAAAAAAGAGAGAGTTGAAAACAAAGGTTCATAACCAAGAAAGAACATATCCAGAGTGCTCCCACCATATTTGATGCTCTCGTGTTACCGTCCACAGTTGCGTATATAAAAAGGCATGATAAATTTCAACAAAAATATGGACATACAATCATCTATGTGACCATGCAAAAATTGATCCTGAACTAAAAAATTGCGCAAGGAGGAACAAAAAAAAATAGAAAAAATAGCATGTGAATTGGACAATTGGTGTGGGCGCAACTCTTCATGTGTGGTCTGCAACCCACACCCAGTGTTACATGCACACCGGTGAGGGTGTCACTGTCCAACTCGAGCAAGAGTATCTGATTTGCCAGACTTTTTGGGGACATGCTACATACCACTTGTAATAGCATAGTGTCGGAAATCCGACACAGGTGCGGGGTGTCTGACTTGGTAAAAAAAAAGATGTGTCAGGGTAGCATTGCCCGCACCAATTCACATGCTGATTTCTCTTTCTCATAGCATTTTTTTATTCAAGCTCAAATTTTACAAGACAGACGGTTGCATGATCTATCTGTCCATATTTTTGTTGGATTTTTTATGCACTTTTTATATTTGCAAACGTGCGCCAGGAATATGGGAGCACCTAACCTGGTGGGAGCATAGGGTATGTTCTCAAATCTCATAACCTAGCATCCTTCGAATAAGTTGAGATGGGAATTGATTAAATTAAAGTTTAAAACAGATCAAGTAGGTTGATGGTGCTGATCATCCTTTCTTTCGCACAACATCTCACTCCCACCTCATCAAGGAAAAAAAAAGGCCAGAAAAGATACTCTCAAAAACGTACACAATAACAAACTCTCCCAGCTCTACTAGCAAACTTTCCAATCTCAGAGGTTATTTGGCAGAGAAATTAGTTTTTTCTGATGACTGGTGAATAAAAAATAGTGCCATTTCGTTAAAAAAAATAGCGCCATCATTTGTTTGGTCTGTTGAAAGTCATGGCCGTTCAATTGAAGTCAGATGAGAGAGATTGAGAATTCTTACACAAAGTTATCATGCAACGTTCCAATCTCCGGGTTATCAGGGAATTTATTTATTAATCTTAGAGGCGAGTGTGCAGATCTGCAAGACAGAAAGAGGTGATATAAGCCACCACTAGAAGCAAAATACAGCTTAGCGTGTAAGCAACCTACCTGTACACATTCCACTTTCCAGTTTGCAGCTTCTCAGGGAGAACAACACTGTAGCCCTGTTCTGTTAAAGAAAAGGTATGAAAAGTCAGCTGCTAATGAAATCTTTGGTTTGGATAAGCTATTTTCCAAATCGCAAATGTGGCATTTTGCCTCTAAGAAATGGTCCAAGTTAACTGAAACATGAACAGTTGAAATTGGGATAATATATATGGGACCGATGGGTGATGGATAGGTAAGAAACAGATAGCAGCAAGCAGCAAACCGCCAAACCATCCATGTCCATATTAATTATAATTATAAAGATTCAATGTACGGATTTGAACTTGGGGTTGGGGATGACAGGATAGACTCATAAGCTTGCCACTGCATTGACTAATAGTTCATATGCTTCCGCTCTTTATACTATACTGTATGCCATACTATTGATACATGTACAGTTGGTGAGTTGGACCTGGGCATGAAACAACCAGTGTCCTGCCTTGAGCACTAAAGTGGGTGTACTACCTCGATCAGCTATGTTCGCTTGAACTTATTAGCCGATTTATCAGTTAGAATTCTGATATTTTTCTCTCATAATAAATTAGTTTCAGCCGGCTTATCAACCGACTTTAATTCCAGCCGAACGGGCCATCAGCTAACACAGGACAATAAGGCAGTAGCAAATTCCAAACAGGGCTAGCTAACAGAACTTTTTCATTCACCGGTTTCTGTATCAAAACTGTTGGGTTACAGATATAGTAGTACGGAATTTATCAGATAAAGAAGAACAAATGTCCTGTTCGCTGGACTAATAAGTCATGACTGAAAGTAGATTGACTGATTTGTTGTTTGAGAAAAATACTATTCATTAACTGAAAAAGTAAGGCTTATAAGTGCAAGCGAATAGGAAAAAAAGTAAAAAAGGGAAAGCGAACAGGACAAAAAGTCAAAAAGGGAGAGGCATCGAGTCCAGTCCAATCTGAAGGGCAGTGCGTTTAGCAAAGCAACACCCCCGATCCAGTGCAAAAGCGACGGTTCCATTCTTATTCTTAAGTCTGTCTAATGCACACCCACTGTTTTATACAGTTTTAACATATTATTTTTTTAATAAAATAGGATTAAGATCCAACAGCATTCTTCACCCTTCTTCTATCTCCAACCTCAACAGTACATATCATAATTTTTTTTTTATGAAAGGACAAATCACGTATGTCCATCGCCGCCGCCACCGCCACTGCCATGGCCGGCGCGGATGCGAAGCAGGGCAACCCGACCTGATCGGCAAGGCCGCTCTGGAGCGCACGTCCATCGAGTAGTGGCTGCAGACGGAGGCGAAGAGCTTCGACTCGCCCAGCGCCGAGATGGTCTACACCCTCGCCATCCTGCCGCCCACCCTGCCCAGGCAGCAGAACGACAACAACGGCAACGGCACCGGCACCGGCAGCGGGTTCAACGCCAGGGACATCGCCGTGGGCAGCAACGCGGACGCGTTCAGCGGCAAGCGCGGTGTGGCCGGGTCGCAGCAGCCGGCGGCGAGCCAGAGCCAGGTGAGCCCGCAGAAGGAGGAGGAGACGCTGAAGCTGTTCGAGCAGAGGAAGAAGGACCTGGAGAAGCTGCTGGACATCTACGAGCAGCGGCTGGAGGAGGGGGAAATTTGATGTTTTTTTTTTCTAAAACACACGTATGTTGTATAACATTTACGATATTCTTATTCATAAAAAAAGGTCGGACGGTCAACCGAGCGATCCGCTGATACGTGGCCGCGCCCGTGCGGCTCGGAAGCCGACGCTCCCACGGCGTCCCAAAGATCCCCCAACAGGATTGCGACTACCTCTAGAGGCCTCCAGTGGCACTTTGGAATTTGGATCGGCGTAATTCGACGGCGGCGGGCCGACACAGGACGGCGGCGGCGGGGAACCCCGGAGGCATCACCGACAACTCCGGATTGGGTATTGTAGCAATAGTAAGTATAGGCATCACCGACAACTCCGGATTGGGTATTGTAGCAATAGTAAGGCCCGTAAGACCCCCGCTTCCTTAAACTCAGGTCCCCGGCAGCGAGGAGTCGCAAGCACGAGCAGAGCGACCTGCGTGATGCTGCACGGAGGAAGAAACTGGAAGATGGGCTTTTTTCTTCACATTGTTCAGCCCAATAGAGGTGAGAGGCCCACCCACCGTCGCACACTGCTTCCCTAAGCCCAATTGGCAACCGGTGGATTTGTTCCCAATTCCCCAATTTGCAGCGACGCACCGACGCCCTAGGCAAGGTCGTGTCTCGCGAGGAGTTGGTCGCCGCCCGCCACCCACTGGCTAACAGGGCACCGCACCACACGGATGCGGAGTGCTAGAGCGGCCACTCGCCCGCCACCACCCGCCGCTCGACACACCAGCTCGCCACCAGGCCCGCCCGGCGCCGCCCGGCTCCTAGCGCTGTTGGCTTCTACTGCTCTGCTCCGATGGAGGGAGGAGAGGAGGAGGTCCATCACGAGGAGGGTGAAGGTGTATATGGATTAAGTGATCAAGAACTTTTAGTTTATTCTTCAAATTTGAGGTATGTAAACATACCATTTGTGATTGCAGCGTTTTTGTAATAATTGGGGTGATTGTAGTATGTGAATTTTGTGTGATTGTAGTATGTTAATAAGGTGCGATGTGAATGCGGTGTCTTTTGGTTCATTTTGTCGTTGCAATTCGCCCCAGCTATAATTTTTTCCTGGCTCCGTCATTGGGGCGGGTAGCTCTCTCTGAGCCTGACACCCCCACCCCACCCCACGCCACGCCGCCGCATGCATTCCGGACTCCGGAGGAGAGGTGAGGGAGGGAGCCGGGAAGGGGAAGCGCGGCGTACGTACCGTGGGCGTACTCGGCGGCGGCGGGGTTGGCGGCGAGGCCGCATCCCCCGGCCGCCGCCGGCGTCTGGTGGCCGACGTGGGCGGAGACCGCGCGGAGCCGGCGCTGGGCGTCGCCCATTGTGGACTGCTCCTGCTCCTGCTCCTGCTCCTCCCGCGCCATTGCTTCCGTTCCGTGCTCGGCTCGGCTGGAGTCCGTCGGGTCCTTGTCCCTGGCGTTGCGTTGCGTGGGGACGATACGATGTGGGGTGGGATTGTGGGAAGGCGGGGAGGTCGAGAGCTGCCCGAGGTGGCGGAGGAGGAGACGGTTGTAATAGTACGCGTGTTCCTGCCTTCCTGGCGTGGGAATCGAGAGGCGCGAGAGAGCGATGCGTCGCCGTCGCCGTCGCGTCGGGGACGGCTGCGGGCTGAGTCGGGACGGGGACGGACTCCTCCTCCTCGTGGTCGCCAATCGCTGGCTTCCCTGCGTCGCGCTCACCACAGATATGCGCTCGCGGTCGCGGGGTTCAGGCCTTCGGGGTTTGGATTTGGACGGATGGATAAACTGCTCGAGATCGAGACGGTTTCTAGATGGATGCGTGCATCGGTGTTCTCGACGGCTTTTGGAGTCGTCTAGGGAACAGCTCACGGATATACGGAGTATATATAAAATTAAAATAAATAAATGGACAATAGTAGTACGTGTTGTCAGCGTCGTGGGCGTCTCTCTCGTCTCGTCGTGCCGTGCGTCGGGGCATGGGGGCCCGTCGGTGGGCGTGGGCGCGGCGACCTCGTCTTTCCTTGGTTGCTATTGCTATTGTACGTACCTGACAACGGCTTCGACGTGGGATGTGCAAACGCAACGTAGTAGTCGCAGTGAATTTCTAAATAATAATAATAATAAGGGAAGATGAGAGCGTTGTTTATCGGTCTGTTCGCTTGGTCGTAAACGATCATAAATTTTTAGCTAAAATAATATTTTTCTCTCACACCAAACCAACCAACAATAATAATTTATACAATCATTTCAGCACCGAACAGACTGCATGTTTGTACTACGGTGGGGTTGCCATCAACCCATAATTATTGCTGCAAGTCGGTATGGGCCTGTCGGCCTGTGCAAGCGTTGTTGTCTAGCTGAGAGAGGTGTCCGGACGACAAACCAAACACGCTGGCGTGGTCGTTGTTGGTTTTTAGGCTGGTTTAGCCTGACTGGTGCTGGTTTGTTGTGAGAGGAAAATACTGTTGACTAATTAAATAAGTCTGGCTGAAACCAACAAACGAACAGGGTGCAAATGGATAAATGAAGGTCTTACATAAAGAGAATTCCTATAAAACTAGAATGTTTGCAACTTTATTAGTGTCGCTTATCGATGAACAAGAAACTACTCATAGTTACGTTGGGAGAACAAACATGATTTCTATTCTACTTATGTCTTATGCTATAGAAAAATCTTACACTGTAAAAGGATAATTTCTTACTACGATATTCGATGCTATAGAAACTGCTAATAGTTTCTTGCATCGGCGCAGAGGACGAGACCAATTTGAACGACGACAAACTGTTACTGCCACTTCTCGTAGCTGTTTCGCCTAGCCTCTTAAACTTGTACAGCTATTAACCTCCTAAGTTCCAATGATTTCCCCTCCAAGTAGAAAGAAAACAAATGCTCGGAGTGACTTCGATAATAATAGAGCTCACATGCCACTCGGTCACACCTTTCAAGGAGTTTACATCGTAGTGCAGCAGAACGACATTATTAGCATTAACTATGAACTTGAGAGACATTCTATTTGGGCCACAACGATATTGCAATGAAATGTACAATCAATGACACTATAGTTGAGCAGAAGTACTCAAGTACACACTGCAAGTTGCGAGCAATGCAATACGCTGAGACTAAGGATTAGTTTGGTTGCTCGACTATCCTCACCTTATCTCGCCAGGGCGTGCTAGCTTACCTTTGCTAGGGTAGAAGAGCTAAACTGGCTAGATTGGGATAGCAAGAAAAAACCTTGCCAGCACATAAAAGGGGGGGGAGACATGCCAGAAATCCAAATACTTAATCACTTTTTTTTTGCCTGACAAGGTGAGGGGTAAGGATAGGGTGTAAACTTTTCCCTTAGTTTTATAAAACTAAGCTAACTGTCCATGTTAGGGCCAGGAGAAAGCTAAGGCCATGTTTTGAACCCGGCCTAGAGTATAATAGCCATGTTGATCCTCCAAATAAGTGATTGAAAGTTTACCTAACCTCACCAAAATGTTATTAGTTCATTAGATCATACAAGTGTGATAAATGAGCTTAAAGTTCAGTAGCCAATAAACTTTAAACCATGACATTCTAACAGGGTTTAAGTAAAATAAACACCCTTTAATGCTAACAATGTGATACAGTCAACTGACTTCTCGTGAGTTATATTATAGCAGTTAAAACAGAGTCTTCCTTTGCTGGTTCAAGGTTCCAATACTAGTACTTTTTATATTGCAAAAAAAAATGCCCATAGGTGCCTCCCAAGTCAATACAAAATGACTGACTAAATAAAGCGTACTCCCTTTATTTGAAATACAAGATATGAAAAAATTCAAAAATTCATCATAAATTACAAAATATTCTAGATTGCTCGACTCTATCCATGTGTACCTACATAAGCCCCATCTATACATGCCTTTTAAACACCATCATACCTAACATAACTCATATAATTGGTAGCTAAAATCACGTGCATGCATGTCTTTCAAACTACGCATTACTAGAAAATTAAGCAAGTTAACAACCAAACTAACTAATCAGTAGAGAACAAGTTAGTATTTTACCAAATTTCTTATGACTTATTTGGATGCACTAATATCCACCTCAATCCATGTGTATTGAGATGAAAATAACTAATTTTCATCCCGATCCACTATAACACATGTAAAATTGAGACGATACAAGCGTATTCAAACAAGCTCTTATGTGTACAGAGTATACTCCCTCTGTCCAATAAAAATATTTCTACGAGATTAGTTTTATAAAAAATATTACCAAACGTTTATACTTCTAAATAAGTTTATTATAAAAATACGATAATGATACACCACTTGTGTCCGTCCCGTGACTCCCCCTCCGGACATGGCTCCCAGGCCTATGCAAGACCGCCCCGTCTCTCTCAAAAAACAAAAAAATCCCCACTCTGCTCATCCGCTCATCGCGGCGTGGCCGCTCATCCGCCAGCCCCCTTCCTCCACCCAACGACCGCCTTGCAGCGACGTTCACCACCACGCGCCGCCCGACCGTGGCCTCCATCCTCCATCTCCACCGCATCCAAGCGCCGGTGGCCGCCCTCCTCCCTCTCCATCCTCCATCTCCACTTGCAGGCGTCGGCCGCCGTGTGTGGCCAGGCGGCTAGGAGAGGGGGCCATCGCTGGCCGGGCCCAGGCCAGGCGCAGGTGCAGCTGGGCGCTACCGGTCCGTGCCACCATCCCTCGGCCGTTGGTTGGCCAGAACCAACCGTTCCCCGCTCTGCTCTGCGTCGTCGGGAAAAGGGGGTGAAAACGTATGTTGCAGGCGTATGTTTTAAGTGTTTCAGATTTTTCATAGGTATATTGCAAGTGTTTCATATAGATATTGCAAAAGTAGGTCGGGATGTTGCATATGTTGCAATGGTTATACATGTATATTGCAAGTTTCTGTTCCTAATGTTTCTTCTGTTTTTTCAAACACATGTTGCAAGTGTGTTTATTTAGATGTTGCATATGTTTCACACATATGTTGCAAGTGTTTTATCTGAATGTTGTGTATGTTTGCAATCGTTTTAAGTGTTTTTTCAGGTGGTTTTGCAAGTGTTTCAGACGCATGTTTCAATTGTTACATCTGTCTTCAGACGTATGGGCCCGTTCGCTTCGCGCGAAAAAAACAAGCCGAAATACTGTTCTGGCTGATTTGTTGTGAGAGAAAAACACTGTTCCGGCTGAAAAAACAAGTTGAAAAAGACGGATTATAAAATAAGCGAACAGGGCCATGATGCAAGCGTTGCATCTGAATATTTTAAAAGTAGATCGGGTGTTGCACATGTTGCAATGCGTGCGAGAAACGGAGGGTGTGCGAGTGGTCCCCACGAGCGGTCTGGCGGCGCGGGCGGCGTCTGGGTGGCACAGGCCTCGTGTGGCGTGCGAAGTGCAGGCGCGGGCCAGGACATGCGGGCATGAGCGCGGACGTGGAGTACAGGCACGCGAGAAATGGACTGCAACGCGGACATCCAGACACGAGGCGTCCGTGCGGAAGTCCGGGCACTAGTAATTTCGATAAAAATAAATTCAACAATCTAATAATACTAGTTATGTGTTATAAATAGTAATATTTTATTGTATATTTGTTAAAGTTGATATAATGTTTAATTTCTAGTGAGTGAGAATGACACTGTTTACGTGAGGAAGGTAGTAGTTGACAACTTGACGTGATCCGTTGGAAGTTGGGCTGGGCTCCACAGAAGATCCCAGGCCCAAACGTTTTGGCATCCGCATAAGGCCCTGTTTCCGTGGCCGCGAATCTATTCCAGAGACCGACTAGAGGCTACCAGGAAAACTGCTTGACCTCGTCTAAAAGACGGGACCAAAGAAAAGAAACCCGTATACCTTACATGCGGGCCCCATAACAGGCCGGTCCTACTGTCATTGAGAATGCGTATAGGCGCCTAAAGTTTCTCGCCCAACCCAAGTCTGTTCCTACCTTCATGCCCCTCGTGACGGAATCACGGAAGGCGAATCAATAGCGCACAATCTCTCCTTCCAAAGTTCCAAGTTCCAATTTCCAATCCCCAATCCAATCCGCCCCGATTCCACAAGGCGCACCCGCCACTGCCGCCGGAGCATCGCCGTCAGCTGATCTCGCGTCCTCCGACGCCCGGCCCAACCTTCCCCTCCAACCGCCGCTGCGCTGCCCGACCACCGGGGACCGCATCGACACGCGCAGCAGTCACAGGACCCCGAGACTGTGACGTGTGGGAGAGAAGGTTCCCCCAGCCATGGCGAGCGCGGATCTGCTGCGGAGGGAGGAGGAGTTCTACTCCTCCTTGTTTGATTCCGCCAAAGGTAACGCCTTTACCAGTCTCTTGGATGGCGGTGCGGATTTCGCCCCCAAATTGGCGGAGGTAGCGATTTTTTCTGAAATTGTGGCGTGTGGGCGCAGGCGATGGCGCCAAGTC